TATTAACTTCATTTTTATTAAATTTAAATATATTAGTATAAATAATAAACTTGTAAAATAATTTAATTATTAATCCTATAAACATACTTTTAATCGGTTTATTTATAAAGCTCATCTTTGAGAATTCTTCCAATATTTCTGTAATAGTTGGTCTTTGCTCGGGTTCTTGATCCCAACATTTTTTATAAAGTTTTTCATAATCCTTAGGAGTATCTGGTATAGTATTTTCACGAGCTTTATTAGTAATAATAGCACAAATAGTTGCATCATTAAAGTCTTTAAATGGAGGATATCCACTAGAAATTTCCCACATTAATACACCATAACTATAAATATCTGAAGGCTTTATATACTGAAAATTGTGATTGCAAAGTATTTGTGGCTCTATATAAGCAGTTTTACCACAAGGTCCGATGTGTGTAGTAGAATTATTTCCAATTTTTGAAATACCAAAATCTGTAATTTTGGCATTATTATTATGAATAAGAATATTCTTAGAATGCTAAATAAGATTATATAATTTTAAAAATTTTTTATAATTAATTTTAATAAATATAAATAAATATAGCAAATTAAACTTACAAAATCTCTATGCAAAACATCTTCATTATGCAAGTAATTTAATCCATTTGCAATTTGAAATGCTATTTTTTTTTTATCATACCAAGTTAAATTATTAAAATTATTTTTAAGATAATTTTGAAGATCACCACCATTAGCATATTGCATTACAAGAAGATACTCATTTGTAATTGGATCTGCAATTAATAAATTAATAAATAATTATTTCTTAAAAAAAAAAATAAATATATAGTAATTAATAATACCTTGGCTAATACCTAAACAATGTATAATTTGATCACAATAATTAAGATATAAATGAATTTTTAATTCATAAATAAAGGCATCTAGCTTAATATTATTTGTATTTATCAATCTTTTAAATACAATAAAATCATCAGTTTTCAACCAAGTTGCTTTTATAATACTTCCAAAACCACCTTTATCAAGTAGCTTTAAATTAGTAAACTCATTAAAGGATATAAATTTAACTTGATATTTTAAGATTTTATTAATAAATTCATTAGTATTATTATTTTGATTAATATTTTGAATATTATCTTTATATTTTCCAAAACACCTTTCAGATTTATTCTCATTTTTTATTAATCTTTGATGCCATTCATATGCTTTTTCTATATCTTTATTAATTCCTATCCCATTTATAAAACATTTAATTATATTATATTGAGCATCTTTATTTTTATTTTCTGCAGATTTTTGATACCAATAAAATGCTATTTTTAAATCTTTTTTAATTCCAATACCTTTTTCATAAAAATAACCTAATTTGTATTGTGCAATATCATTTTCATTTTCTGCTGATTTTTGATACCAATAAAATGCTTTTTTTAAATCTTTTTTAATCAAAATTCCTTCTTCATAATAAAATCCTAGATTATATTGTGCAAATTCATTTTGATTTTCTGCAGATTTTTCATACCATCTAATTGCTTCATTAATATTTTTTTCAATACCTAAACCATATCGATAACAAATAGCTAAATTGCATTGAGCAATATAATTTTCATTTTTTGCTGATTTTTGATACCAATAAAATGCTTTTTTTAAATTTTTTTCTACATATATACCTTTTTCATAAAAATATCCTAAATCATTTTGTGCTTTATTATAATTTTGCTCAGCTGATTTTTTATACCATTCAAATGCTTTTTTAATATCTTTCATAACAAATGTTCCATAATAATAATAATTACCTAAATTATATTGTGCAATTTTGTTATCATTTTCTGCAGCTTTTTGATGCCAATAAAATGCTTTTTCTAAATTAATATCAGTTCCTTTACCATTTATATAGCAAAAAGCTAAATTATTCATTGCAATAATATTTTTATTTTCTGCAGCTTTTTGATACCAATAAAATGCTTTTTGCAAATTTATTTTTACATTTATACCTTCTTCATATAAATATCCTAAATCATTTTGTGCTTTATAATAATTTTGTTCAGCTGATTTTTCATACCATTCAAATGCTTTATTAATATCTTTTATAACAAATATTCCATAATAATAATAATTGCCTAAATTATATTGTGCAACTTTATTATTATTTTCTGCAGCTTTTTGATATAAATAAAATGCTTTTTTTAAATCAATATCAGTTCCTTTACCTTTTTCATAACAAATAGCTAAATCAAATATTGCATAAATAAATCCATTATTTGCAGCTTTTTGATACCAATAAAATGCCAGTTCTAAATTAATATTAGTTCCTTTACCATTTACATAGCAAAAAGCTAAATTATTCATTGCAATAACATTTTCATTTTTTGCAGCTTTTTGATACCAATAAAAACCCTCTTTTAAATCAATATTAATTCCTATACCATTTATATAGCAAAAAGCTAAATTATTCATTGCATTAATATTTTCATTTTCTGCAGCTTTTTGATGCCAATAAAATGCCTTTTCTAAGTTAATATCAGTTCCTTTACCATTTATATAGCAAATAGCTAAATTATGCATTGCAATAACATTTTCTTTTTTTGCAGCTTTTTGATACCAATAAAAACCCTTTTTTAAATCAATATTAGTTCCTATACCATTTATATAGCAAAAAGCTAAATTATTCATTGCATACACATTTTTATTTTCAGCAGCTTTTTGATGCCAATAAAATGCCATCTTTAAATCTATATCAGTTCCTTTGCCATTTATATAGCAAAAAGCTAAATTATTCATTGCAATAACGTTTTGATTTTCTGCAGCTTTTTGATACCAATAAAAACCTTTTTTTAAATCAATATTAGTTCCTTTACCATTTATATAGTAAAAAGCTAAATTATTCATTGCATAAATATTTTTATTTTCTGCAGCTTTTTGATACCAATATAGGGCATTTATTAAATCAATATTAATTCCTTTACCATCTTCATAACATAAAGCTAATTCAAGCATTGCATCATCAATTCCATTTTCTGCAGCTTTCTGATACCAATAAATTGCCATTTCTAAATTTGTATAAATTCCTTTACCATTTTTATAACATAAAGCTAAATTAAACATTGCTATAGCACATCCATTTTTTGCAGCCTTTTGATACAAATAAAATGCTTTTTTTAAATCAATATCTGTTCCTTTACCATTTTCATAACATAAAGCTAAATTATTTATTGCTTTAATATTATTATTTTCTGCAGCTTTTTGATACCAATACAATGCTTTTTCTAAATCAACATCAGTTTCTTCACCATTTTCATAATATAAAGCTAAATTAAATATTGCTTCAATATTTTTATTTTCTGCAGCTTTTAGCATCCAATAAAATGCTAAATCTTTTTTGATTTCAACACCAAATCCTTCAATATAACATCTACTTAAGTATACTTGTGCAATAGGATAACTTTCAGCTTTTAAAAAGTATATGAATCCTTCACTATTATCTTCATCTAAATTGAGCATATTGTAATAAGAAAAAATTCCAAGAAAGAGAACATTTTTTGATTCATTTTGATTTTCTTTAAGCCAGTTAAAAATTTCTTCAGCTGATTGAGTAGAAATAGTAATGCATTTATTAAGAAATTGTTTCGTTTCACTGAAATTTTTACCTTCATTTTGTATTTTAACCAATAGTATAAATAATTTATCAACTAAAATGTTCATATTATCTGTTGAATTAATCATTTCTGATAGGCATTCGTCATGTTTTATTTCAGACTTTGTCATGCTCGTATTTTTAAATATCAAAAATGTGTTTTATCATATAGGGTGAACTCTCTCTGGTTTACGGAAAAATTAAGGAACAAAGACTCTTTATCTGATGATTAATTGAAATTTCGGAAATATTTCTCCGCACCGAGGTTACATAATTCCAAAATAACATTGCATATCAGTTCCTTGTAGAAATGTGGCGCTTTTTGGTTGATAATCGGACATTTTAGGATGTTTTCTTGATCATCACTTTTTTATATTTACCGATTTGGTTAGTATATGGAAAACCGGTACGGTACGATTCGTCAGACCGAGTACGGAACGATTATGCAGATCAGTAATTTTGTGAAATTTGATATCGTTCCGTACCGTACTGGTCCTAATAACTAAGCCCTATTATAGGACCAGTACGGTACGGTACGCAATGAAATTTTTGTAAAATTTATTTTTATTTATTACTTATTTTATAAATACAACGAATTTTGATATCATTATATCACATTTTACTAATTAAATGCCATATCCGCGGAAATCTTTTTTTTTATTTTTATTTTTATTTTCATTTTTTTATTCTTTTTATTTATTTTTTTGAAAAAAACGAAAAAGAAAAAAAAATCTAAAATAAAAAAAGAAAAAGAAAAAAGAAAAAAGAAACGAATTGCAAAAAAAAATATGAAAAAATCAAATAAATAAAATGAAAAACAAAAGTATAGAAATAAAATAAAAAATAAAAATTAATAAGAAAAAACTAAAAAAAAAAAAAAATAAATAAATGAACGAAAAAAGTAAATGAAAAAATTATAAAAAAAAACAATGAAATGAAAAAAAAAAGTAAAAATAAAAAAATAAAAAAAAAAATGAAATACACAATTAAATAAAAATAAAAAAAGAATAAAAAAAAAGGAACTTAAACGGAACTAAACAAAAAAAATAAAATAAAAAATAAAAAGTCCGGTGGGAGGGGAATAAAAATAATAAAAAAAAATAGATTAAAAAAAAAAATAAAAATAAAATAAAAAGTCCGGGGGAATTTAAAAAAAATATAATAAAGTATAAAATAAAATCAAAAATATATATACTGGGAAGGAATTTAAAAAAAAAGACCAAAATTATGGTCTAGTGATCACGAGAACTAGCACATGATAACCGCGTGAAATATTGCAATTTTTACATATAAACACGAGTTTGTTTATAACATAAAGCGCATTTTTTCAATAAAACATTTTTATTAATTCCTTTTTTTCGTATCAAAAAAAAAATTTTCCAACATGTCTGATATTTATGATATCATAATTGACCTTTCTTTAGAGAAAAAAGAAAAGAGTATTCTACGCACTCATTTCTATAAAAATCCTCAAGAAATAAATAAAGTGATGTGTGTACTTGAAAAATGCCCATCACCTGAGGAAAAAATTGAATTTTTAAGAATGTCTTTCTTAACTTCTGGTATGTCGTGAAAATATTGTGGCTTCACATTTGTTATATTAACTAACTTTACTTTGGTCTTCAATCCAATTTAGACGACGGAAGTAAGCATCAAGGTAAGCCCTTTATGTCATCATAAATAATCAGACAACCCGAACATGATGTTACACTGCAAATTATTATTTCATAGTTTCGCTTACTCGTTATCTATTTTAACTTGTGCTTTCAATGCTCATTAGAGACAAGAAATAGGAAACCAAATGAAAAAAGTAAGAATCTTTGTTGTTATTTTAATCTTTACTCGTCTCTCATCATTATGGATCTTTTCCAACCATTAGTTAGCGCAGTACCAAAAAGAAAGAAGTTTTCAATAAATAGTACAATCATGTCATGGGATCGTGAAAACGTCTATTATGTGAATCCATTAAAACAGAGCGGAGAATTAATTGATTTGATTTGTAAAGGTGACTATGTGTTATTACATGGAGCGCGTGCCTCCGGAAAATCCACTCGGACGATGCAAGTTATGGATGATCTGGAAGAAAAAGGATACATTTGTATCTAGTAAGCAATTGGTTTAAATCTGTGATCATTAATTTATCGATCAAACGAATTTACAATATTCTTTCTTCTTCATCTTAACGGATAGCGTGGCTTTTTGTGATTTAACTGTCGACGATGTTGATCGATTTTGGGAAAATGTCGCCATAAATATTAAAATGAATCTTGATAGCAAGTATACTGAGAAACATAAGTTAGGGAAAATAAAACAACAAGAACCGTTTGAAATACCCACTATGAGGACGCTCGAAGATATTATGGAAATTTTTGCGCTCACCGCAAAGATTTGGAATTATTTTTATGAAGAACCTTGCAAAAAAGTAGTTCTATTCTTTGACGAGTTCGATACTTTGCTCTCTCCCAATAACGTTCAAGTCTGTAACTCGCTCCTGACAAACATGCGCGTTATTAAAACAAGCCCCTACTATGCAATAAAATCTGTCGTCGGGATCGGCACATTCAGTATACTAAATTTAAACACTACAAATCGGTCAGTATCACCGTTCAACGTTAGTGATGCTTTTCAAAATCCAAATTTTACCGAAGATGAGGTCAGATCAATATTTAAAGAGTTTATGAATGATTACAGTAAAGAAATTGATGATCAGGTCATCAAGGATATCCACATACAAACAAACGGGTATGTGAAGCAGCTAAATCGTTGTTAAGCAAATTATGATTTATTAATTTTTTAATTTTTTAACAGACATGCGGGACTTATAAATCTTTGTGGACGCTTAATCGAGAGCGTGCCTAATAAGCTGGATTATGCGTGTTGGAAACATTATGAACATGAGAAATTGGGAGTTTGGATTTCAAATTACCGTACATTTAAAAGAATGATTGATTCCCTAAAGATGAAAGATGCAATTAGCGCTGTGAACCTTCTTCGTACTCGATTTTTGGGTAATTCCAGTGATGTGAAAATAATGGATAATAAAGAACTTGAATTAGCCAAGTTTCTAGTATCTGAAGGTGTCCTCATTCACATTGATTCCAATACGTACAAAATGTATTCTTCTCTCTTGGATTCACTTATCAGACGATATGTAATTGCCGACCTATTTCCGCTCGCCCCAAAGATTCATGTCCCTAAACAAAATGATAAATTAAAAACTTTAGAAGTTTTAAAGGAAGCAGTTCGCTTCTTCGATAGAGAAATTATTTCTAGAGCATTTCATTACTCATTTAAAACGGCACATGTATATGTAGATGAATGTTTAAACAAGCTGGTACCGCGTGAAAGCGTTTACGACATAGAATTAAACAGGATTCTCACGAATTGGCTTGGCAGGGAAATCGGTGCTTTAGTCACCGGCCAATGGCATTTAATATATAAAGAAGGCAGCAAACCCGTTCACAATTATAGTGACTTAGTAATTAAGGTCAAACATGAGGAAAATGTTCAAATGATTATTCTCAAAATTATGGCAACAGTGACAATACCACTTGCAAATCAACACTTTGCACGAGCACTTACCTATGGCAAAGAACTATCCGCAGATGAAATATGGGTCGTTCATTTTACTTGTGAAGATCACTTTGATACGCAACCTCATTTTCCGACTGAAAAGCAACTGAAAGAAGGACTTAGAGTTATGATTTTCTGGCATAACTCTGACTTCACGGAGATACGCATGTGTGCAAATTGGTGGGAGAATGGTGTAAAAAAAGAGATAATTGACGAGAGGATTAATTTATCATATTAAAAAATTGATCGAAAAGTTGATTTATACTTAGACAAACAATATACATATGTTAAATTCAAAATAATTTTAATAAAATTTATGACACTGTCAAAATATAACTTAAATTAATAATTGGAATCCAAGATATCAAGCAAAGAGGAAGTCGTCATATTTTGCTTACAAGAGATTTTAAGATGAATCTTTGTTTGGGTTTTTTTTTTGATTTAAGTCGACTGTCTGCAAGTGAGAGCAAGCTAATCTTTAAAATTAAATCAATCCGTTCGATCCTTTTTAATTAATTAAAATTAATTAAATTGCGATTGCGAATAGCTTATAAATAAGAAATAATAACTTTTCTCGATCCTTATTTACAAAGATATAATACCATTTAAAATATTTATTGAATGACAATTAATAAAATAAACAAAAGCAGATAGTGATACCCGTACCTTAGTATTATCACTTGTCACCAGTCCAGATGAATCAATGAAGTTGTAAATACCAGATTTATTTCTTTGATGACATTTTCAAAATATCGCCTTACAATCTCGGTGATATTCAAATTAAAATAAAAGTCCATAATCTCAAGAATTTCTGAATCAAAATTAATATTCATTGAATTTTCTAGTCCATAGTTTATTTTTTCATAATAATGTAGCGTGATTGACCACAAGTTTGCAGTTACAAAATAATTGTGATTAACAGATCCGATGAGTAATCAATTGGAACACTGGGTGCCTAAAATAATAATCTGTGTTCTCGTTGTTCTTTTATATTACACGGGCGTTTTCTTTAGAAAGTTAAATGCAGAAGCCTCATTTGAAAATGTTTAGTATATTAAGTATTACAAATCATAAACTCCGTTTTGCATATGAGTGGTTTGGAATGTCTAAACTAATTTATTTTAAAATAAATAATCATTGGAGTTTTTCCATATGAGAAAACAATAATGTAGAATTTAATTTATTGGTGAGGGAGGATTAAAATTAATTTATAAAGCTACTTGGATTGATTCACTGAATAAAGAACAGAATATATTCGGAAAGCTGATATACAAGTTGCTTCTTAAGAAAATTCTAAATTCTTTAAGTTATAAATTAACATGTGCTAGGTTAATAAAACTTTTATTCAGCCTAAAATATAATATCAATTAGGACAAATGGTTTTCGTATTAATCGGTATTACGCAAGATCTTATTACCAAGGATTTTGTGTTAATTATGAGTTATTGACCCATTATATGGATAAAGATTTTATAATATTAGTTGATTAAGTAATTTTAATCATTTAGAAAACATTACATCAGGAAATAAAACATTCATTCCAAGAGTATTTATCATCGTGGGGTTAATAAAGTGAACTATGGAATTGTTTCTTATGTGACCCCAGAATATACTGTAGACAATTATTTGGGAGTATATGACAGGAAAGATCTTTTTGGGATTGTGCTCATAATGCAGAGCTATTTGTAATGAATTACGTCCTCTAATTAGTAATATAAAGAACATAATGTTCTAATGAAAAAATGATGGAACTTTGATTCAATTATTGGTATAAAATTTAATTATGAAAGAGAAAATCCAACTGTTATTGTAAAATCATCAGAAATAGGACCCATAACAAAAAAACATCCAATTGCTAATTATAAGTGTGCAGATGCAAAATCCGCAGAATTTATACTTGTTATTCCATAAGGATAACTAGGTTATTCACGGGTTATATATAAAAGTCACATGCGTGTAAGCGCATGTGATTATCATAATAACTTAAGTAATCCGTAACGAAGTATGGAATAACAGGCTTATCTCATTGTGTATGACGTATACACCGATGGAATTTTTTGTCTATATACATTTTATTTATTTCCTGAAGATTTTTTTTAGGTTTATTACATGTCTAAAGAAGTTAAATTACGAAACTGAATCTGTGCATAACTATTATAAATGAAGAGTCAATTAACCCTTGCAAAAATGTAACATATTTATAATATTTATATTTATGTTCTTCAATTTAATTTAAATTTCAAGCTAAGAAACGACAAGCATTTCTAATTTTACGCGAAAAGAAAGAAAATCCATATCGAATATACATGTACAGAACATCATAATGTTAATTCCAAACACCAGTTAAAGATGAACATTTTCATATATTCCTAGTAAATTAGATATTATAAATTTAAATACACATTTAAATAATTATAATAAACATGTATTTCTTAATTGTTGTATTAATATAAATATATCATGTCATATTATAAACCAGTGAAGTAATTGACAAAAAAATCCATCGGTGTATACATAATACCGATGAGATAAACAAGATTACACATCAATTATTTGAATTATTTAGAAGTCATTTTTTTTTAAAACATTATTAATTAATATTTATATATGGATTATTATACACCCATAAAAACTTTTTTTTATAAACGTAAAAAAGTGATCAAATTGAAAATGATATTGGTTCGGTATAATTAAATTATTTATTACGAATTTCAAAATTTAACTTTAATAATTTGTATGATATTATAGAAACTTACAAACATTGGAATTTAATATCTAATATGGATCGCAAATATTTTATTTAAGATTCGAATGAACCAAGGAACGGTTCCCTTAATCATGTAACGATTTTTAGTAAGAAGTCAAATTGGTACCAATATTTAATTATGTTCCTAAATAATTGAAAGGCTATTTCATCAGAAAATAAAATATTTTCCACCTTTCATTTAGATGATTTTGAGCTCATTCAATACGTTTTGTCTCTGAATCGTTGTGCATTGGTGTTTCAATTTGGTAAACATTTTTATAACGAATTATTTTGACGATCGTTTAAGTACACGTAATGATTTATATGCACCTATTTTTGATCGTCCATTTCCTTTTCGATGTTTAATTTTTTGATATTATAATTAATTGTTGTATTCCTTTATTCCAATAAAACAAAGCAGTTTGACGAAGTGTAATGTGCTTATTTAAAGACATTATAGAGGAGAATTTTATTATTTCAATAACGAGCGCAACAATGGTAAATCAATATGTGTAATATCGACATGATTATTGTAAATCATTTTACACGACACGCGAGCTCAATTTTTTTTTCACACTGTACTTACAGCGCCACTAAAAATATAACGATAGTGCATTCAAATTCAAGTTACCCGAAAAATATTTATTATAATATTTAATAAATTTACAAATAGTAGTTTTTCTAATAATACGCAAAATTTTTCCATCAGTCTTTACTGTTTATATACATTTTATCACATCAAAATTTCACACTTTATTAAAAATAGTGAAATGCGTGAGAACATCAACATCTTGAAGCATTGTTTGTTTTTAAATTTTTAATTTATCGCATGAACAGCATCTAAAAAATCTTACCGAATTGATTTACTTCTCCGAATTGATTAGATTTTAAATGGACAAGTTACATGTGTTAGTGTTAGACTAAACTATTATAAAAAATTATAATCCTTTCTCAAAGTTAAAGATTTAATTGATGTCAATAACCATTAAAGAATTATCCGTTTTTTTATCATGACAAATATCATTTGTTTATCAGATGCAACACGTTAATGTTTATATTGATTATTTCAACAGAAAAAAAATAACATTAAAATATAGTTATGTGGAAGTGCTTATTTGTTTGTCATATTTAATCGATTAAAGCATAATAATACTTTTATCTAATTTTTGTACTCCTTAAAGCTAAATAGTGTGACTTTACGTAACCATGCAAATAATGATGATCATATCAATTCTATTTGGAATAAACACGGAGTATTAATCCCGTAATCCCGTTAAACTTTCTTTTTTGAATAATTATTTCTATTTCATTGCATTATGGCCTCCATTCGTTTGGAATTAGTTAACGATACATTGAATAGAGTATATGCATTAACTGATTATAACACAGACATAGACAAACGGTATGAATTTAGACAACAATCAATTTACGCTAATGAATCTCACAAACGAGGAAAAATCAGAGGCAATATTAAAATTAAGTGAAGATTATGACTATTACAAAGTTACTTTAAATCAAGGAATTAAAAAGAATTTGTGAAAACTGCAAACAAGAATGTTTAGCAATATCATATTGTGAACATTGTATTCGAAGTTATTTAAAAGCAAAATTTTTCAGAATGGACGTCTGGAAATAATGAAATTGATAATTTAATACAGAGATTACAGATGGAAGCAATTACTCCTTATAAAATAGTAGAGTGGATACCATATAATAATTTACAAAATTGAGTATTTAACTAAAAGTGGATGCTCTGAAATCTATACAGAAGTTTGGATTAATGGATGGTATTATGACTGGGATTCTATTAGAAAACATTTAATAAGATATGGAAGCTATAAAGTAATACTTAAAATATTAGAAAAGTTGAAAGTGCTAATAGAAATTGGTTTAAAGAAGTATGTAATTTAAAATTTGACATTTTTTATAAATAAAAAAAAAAAAAAAAAAAAACTAACTAATTGATTCTAATTTATAGGCTAAATCTCAATTAATATTAAGCAGCAAATTAGAAAATTTTACTCAATCTTATGGTCTTACTCAAAATCCACAAAATAAAAATTATTTTCTAGTAATGAATTGATATGATATATATTTAAGAAAATATTTATAACAAATTATAATCAGTTTACATGGAAACAAAGAAACATCATATTTTTAGATATAATTAATGCAATTGATGATCTTCAAAAAGTAAATTCTATTCATAGAGATTTGCATTTAGGAAATACACTATATAGTAAAATAGTTAATTTTTGGAATATTAGTAATTTGGATTTTGTAGTCCTGCTAATAAACTATTAAAAAGTATATATAGAAATCTTTCTTATATAGCATCTGAAGTTATTTCTAAAAAAGGATATACTTTTGTATTGGATATTTATAATCTTGGTATGCTTATTTGAAAGATTTCATCTAAACAATCACCTTTTGCTAATTATGATCATGATTATGAACTTGTGACAAAAATAATGAATGGAATAAGATTGAAGATAGTACTAAAAACTCTATTCAGAATTTAAAAATTTAATGATACAATGTTAGGATGCAGATCTATTAAAAAGATCTGACATTGATACCCTTTATAACAAAATTTGTGAAATATATAAACTATATTATCCAAATAAAAATGAAAATGCAGCATTAATTTAAATAATATATAATCAAATATACAATCTAATATAAGCTCTAATTCTATTAGTCCATTAGTCAAAAAATT